ACGCGGCGGCTCTGGACGCCCTGGTCATCGACCCAGCAGTCCCGCCCCAGAGTCGGAACCGCCCGCGTCGGGGTCGTTGTGGGCCGGTCCGTGACCTGTCCAGGCTTCCCGCCCACCCTAAGGAGTTCGGTGCCCGGGCCCCTTTGCAGATGGGGAAGCCGAGGCTCGGGGCTGTGTCAGCGGCATCGCGGCTGGTGCTGGCCTCGCTGAGACTGGGTCTTCGGAAATAGTCTGCAGGGGCCGTGTGAGTCCGGTGGGCAGCTGCGGCACCGTGTGGGCGAGGTGCTCTGGGCCTGAGACCGGGGAGGAGGGTCCCGGGATCTGGACCGCACCGGGCAGAGGGCGCTGAGGGCGAGCTGATGGGCTAGGACTGGGTGTCGGGTGGCAGGGGTTGCAAAGCGCCCATGGCGGGGCCTGGTAGTCGGCTTGGGTGCCTGGCCTTTGTTCTTGAGCAGCGGGGACCTTCGGAAGGGCCGACACCGAAAGTGATAGCCGATTTGTGTTCTTAAAAAAAAAAAATCACTGGCAACTGCGGTAGGAAGTGAAAGCACCTTTCGTTTTGATGGTGTCGCTTTAATCCTCACCGCAAGCCAGGAGGCAGGAGGCACTCCCCGCTGAAGGTGAGCTCCCTGCAGCTGAGCTCCCTGCAGCTGGTGGAGCTGACAGTCCGCTCTCAGAAGCTGTCGTTTGGTTCTCATTCCAACAGAATCGGGTGGAATAAAATGCTTTTGCTTAGCAAGACCTTTTCCATATTCAATGTTTTCTTTTCATATTGTCCCTTGATGGAATGTATTGTGGTTGTTTGTTGTGTGTTTCTTTCCACTCCATTTAAACTTGTAAGGAGTTCGTTCTCTCTCTCTCTCTCTCTCTCTCTCTCTCTCTCTCTCTCTCGCTCTGCCCGCCCAGGGCCTTTGCACTGCTGTTGCTCTGCCTGGACCTCCTCCTCCCCTCACCTCCTTCAGGCCTGCAGATGGCATCCTATGGGATGTAACTGACCCCTGTGCACTCCGCACCCCTCGCTCTGCTCCGTTCTGCAGAGCACCTGTGGTTCAGGCCTCACAGTAGGTACTTGTTTATTTCTTGATTGTCCGCTCCCTCCACTAGAATATCAGAATCATTAGAGCAGCGACTTTGTTTTGTTCCCTTCTGGGTCCCTGGCACATAATTAACTACTTGTTGAGTGATTGAATGAAGCCTTGGGTGATGCGAAGTGAGAAAGTATTATTTAAAGTAAACAGAGGGAATGGGAGTGGGGAGGGGAGGGAAGGGACAAAAGGGATTATAGTAAAGGGATGTCTTTGGGGGGAGGGGTTGCTTAGTGTTGTAGACTAAACACAGCCACCAAGTCTTTGACATTGCTCCCTACAAGAGATGGGATCTAGCTTCACCCCTTGAATCTGGACAGATGTTGTAACTCGCTTTGACCAATAAAATGTGTAACAGTGACGTCCGACTTCGGAGCCGAGGCCTCCAGAGGCCAGCCCCAGCGAGCCTAGGGAGGCCCCATGGAAGAGAACTGAAGTGCGCTCCCCCCGCCCCCCCCCCCCCCCACCCACAGGCCAGACGCCAGACGTGTGAGTGAGGCTGCCCTAGACCCAGCCTCAGTTTAGCCAACTGCAGAGAATCATGAGCAAATGAAAACGGGGTGGGGGGTAATTTTTGTTTTATTTCTTGATTGTAGAGAGAGGAAGGGAGAAAGGGAGAAACATCAACCTGTTGTTCCACTTACCAGTATTTACGCATCAATGGTTGCTTCCTGTCTGTGCCCTGACGGGATCGAACCCGCAACCTTGGTGCATTGGAACGACGCTCCAACCAGCTAAGCTGCCCGGTGGTTGCTTCCTGTCTGTGCCCTGACGGGATCGAACCCACAACCTTGGTGCAATAAGACAATGCTCCAGGGCAAAACTTGTGGTCTTAAGCTTCTGTGTTTTGGGGCAGTTTGTTACACAGCCATAGATAACTGACACATTCCATTTCCTGGCCTCCGCCGGCCGTGGAGCATTGGAAATTGATATTCTTGACAGGCAGCTTCGATTATTCTGCTTAACAAAGAAAATAGGGGGAAGGCAGGAGGAAGAATCGATGTGAATGAGAAGGACAGGCAGAAAGGCGACGGACAACCTGGGAAGCAGTGAGTGGCTGGTTGTCTAACGGACCCTCGTCAGCCCTGTGTCCTGTGGTGCCCAGAAGCTGCGGCTCAGCCGTCAGATGACCGATGGCGTGGACCCAGGTCAGGTTCAGCCGTCCGCAGTTCACCAGCACCTGACGCTGGGCAGGCTGCACAGCGTCTCTGAACCTCATTCCTCATCTGCAAAGGACGTACATGACATCGGGTGGTTGTAGGACGGAATGAACCATGCCGTAAGACACTCAGCAGTGTGCGTGGCATAATACGTGTTATTGATTAGCTATCGCATTACCGTATGGATCACTGCTCACCTTGACTGTCACGGCTCCCCAGAGCATAGTGTTAGCAAAGGCCGATGGTACGTGGGCTCTGTGGGTCAGTCCTGTAAACACTCCCTCTAAACCTCCTAGCAACCCTGCAGCTTACACACTGTTGTCATCATCCCATTTCATTGGCGGGAAAACTATGGCTCCATCCCCAGTGTGGAGCGTGCGGGAGGCAGCCGATCCATGATGCTCTCTCATCACAGATGTTTCCATCTCTCCCTCCCCCTTCCTCTCTGCAGTCAATGAAAATATATTTAGAAAACACACACACTGTGGCTCAGAAGAAAGAAGCGAGGAGACGGAGAGCAGGTGCTGGCTGGGTGCTCTGTAAGATGACCCGCTGTGGGAACTCACTGACGTTTCTCACGAGGAGGCTGGAGGGATGGTTCCTGCGGAGAGACCACGGGCGCTACGCCGAGCGCCGTCATAGTATCAATAGCGCACACTATCAACGCGACCTAAGGCTGCTGACAGTGACTGCTCACCTGGCTGAGCTGGTGCTTGTCAGGTTCCCCACGGGTAAGTTGCTCGCCCACATCCTTGCCAGACTGAGTGCTGCGGAAGGAAGTCTCCGTGTGCAGCCCCCACTAGAGAGCGTGGAAAGTATCTATGTAGGTTATTTGGGTTCTTCTGTGTGGGAGACTTCTCCTCCCCCACGTGCTCAGTTCCTCCGTTTATATCAGCATGGACTCGTCGATATATATATTTTGTACTTTGGGTTATAATCCGTCACCACTTTATTTTGTTGCTCTTTCTCTGGACGTTGTTAACGTCCAAAACGCCGTCAAGCCTGACATCCTCCATCCAGAACCGGGCCAGTGTCCGCACAGGTAGAGCTGCCTCCTGGCCACACACCAGCCGGGCGGCGGGCGGGAGAGATTGACGGGTCTGGTTATAGAGCCTGAACGCACCTCGCAGGTCTGTAATGTTCGTTCCCTCACTCAAACCACGCGTGCTGAGCCCCGGGGAGGTGCCGCACAGCGTGCTAAGCACCAGCTTGCTTCGTTCTGGTGGGAGCAGAGGGCAAACAGGGAATCAGGACTCAGCCAGCGAGCTGGCATCAAGAGAGAGAGTGGAAGGGAGGGGAAGAGACAGACATTGATTGGTTGCCTCTGGCATGCACCCCAACCTGGGCTGGGGATCGAACCTGCAACCCAGGTACATGCCCGTAATGAGATTTGAACCCACGACCTTCGGTGCGAGGGCCAGCACTCTAACCACTGAGCGACACTGGCCAGGGCATGGCTATAATTTTTTAGTAACTATTAGATCCCAGGCATATTAATTCATATCTCTTATCATCACTTCCAAGTTAGATGTTCTTATTATCCCATTTTATAGATTAGAAAACTGAGGCACAGAGATTAAGAGGCTGCCCAAGGTCAAACCTTTGGCTCCCAGCCACAGGGCCTTTCATCTGGCTTGGTGTGTACTCCTCTGAAACATCCCAGAAGCCAGCAATTATGTAATCAGAAATGTCACTTTAAATTCCAACAGGTGTCCGCACTGACCCTTCTGCTTTTTCTGAAACGTCGTTTATTCTTTGGCTTGAGCTGTTTTCCTTTTCGTCTTCTCCAGCTTGTGCTACTGCATGTCACTGGGACGGTGATAATGCCCTTTTCTTTTTTTAAAAAAGTCATCTAGCCAGCCTGGCCGGCATGGTTCAGTGCTTGAGCGTCGACCTACGAACCAGGAGGTCACGGTCCGATTCCGGGTCAGGGCACATGCCTGGGTGGTGGGCTCGATCCCCAGTGTGGGACACGCAGGACGCAGCCAATCCATGATTCTCTCTCATCATTGATGTTTCTATCTCTCTCTCCCTCTCCCGTAATAAAAATACTTTTTACAAATGATTTAAAAGTTATCTTGTTGCCCTGACTGGTGTGACTCAGTGGATAGAGCATCGGCCTGCGGACTGAAGGGGCCCGGGTTCGATGCCAGTCAAGGGTATGTACCTTGATTGTGGGCACATGCCCAGTAGGGGCCGTGCAGGAGGCAGCTGATCGATGTTTCTCTCTCATCGATGTTTCTAACTCTCTATCCCTCTCCCTTCCTCTCTGTAAAAAATCAATAAAATATATTTTTTTAAAAAAAGTTATCTTGTCAAAGCAAGTGATAGTTTATAACCCCACCAGATAATTAGTGCGTGTGACAGCCCACAGGCGTGGCGCAGCCTTCAGCGGCAGGGCTGGGAGGCACGCACAGAAGGGCCTGTCCCACCCCCACCCCAACCCCCTGCCCTGGGGAACTCACACTCTACAGGTGGCATCTCGGCATCGCACAACGTCCTGTCAACCGTGTTGACAAGAGCCACACGTGTGGTCGCCCTGAGGGGAGACTGAGGCTCACCCGCGGCATCAGCAAGTCAGCACGAGAGGCGTGTGGGCAACAGGCATTGTGGGCGCAACTCCACCACGTGTGGGGAGAACCTGGGGCCGAATCTGGTGTTTGTTGAACGACTGAATGAGGGTCTCCCCATGAGCATGTACAGTGTGTTACCGGGCACTTGCCTAAACTGTAAACGCCTTAGGGTGAGGAGCAGGTGACTGGCTCCCCGCTCCCCGCCTCAGAGGGAGGTGACGAGGTGAAAGCTGTCCACCCCCAGGGCAGAGCTGCGTCCTGCTCACCGTGCACGGCCCGGTTCAGACTCGCAGCTGATCGCAGGCGCTCGAACACCTGTTGGTTGGAGCTCACAGAAGTCTGTGGCCGTCATCCTTACTTTAGTACATGGCCACAGTTGGTAATTCATCCGGCGTCCAGGATTCTGCATCTCCCACAAATGGGCTTTGGGGATACGTATATGGAGAGGGACATGTTTCTTTTCTCTCTCTTTTTTTTTTAAATATTTATATTGATTTCAGAGAGGAAAGGAGAGAGAGAAACATCAATGATGAGAGAGAAGCATTGATCGGCTGCCTCCTGCACACCCAACACTGCGGAGCCAGTCTGCAACCCGGGCATGTGCCCTGATCGGGAATCGAACCATCGTGACCTCCTGGTTCATAGGTCGATGCTCAGCCCCTGAGCCACACGGGCCGGGTGGAGAGGGCCATGTTTCTCAGTAGCAGCCCAGAGCCGTCCCACAGGGAGGAGGGACTCCGCTCACCTGTGCTGGTAATTAGCCTCTCCACCTGGGAAAATCCCCGTGACTCACTGGGTGGAAATGCCTCGGGAACAGGAAAAGGGCTGGGCCCTGGGCCAGCTCTGCCAGGTGGAAAGTCAACGTGGGTTGCCTCACGGGAAAGGGCACGCGCGGGGACTCACAGCCGCCTCTCCTGCCTCGGTCACGGTCACAGCGCCCTCCGCAGCCTCTCGCTCCTGGTCTGTGCCCGGGCTGAGGACTTAGGTGACTTCCCGAGTGGCTCGTCTCGTTCTGAAATCCTGTGAACCCACAAAAGGGTGACAGTTAGTCGGCCGCAGGCTAAGAATGGTCCCCACTGGGCACATGCCCAGCTCAGACACTCAACGGATGTTGAGGGCAGGGGCGCAGCCCGCTGGGAGCCAGCGCTTTCGGAAGCCCCCCACCTCCCACAGACTGACATGGCAGCGGCGGACTCCGAGGACAAACAAATCGCCAGGCCCTGGGTGATCCGGGCCCGCTGAGGTTGTATGAGATGAGCCAGAGGCCCACGCCCGGCTGCGAGGAGCAGGCCTCGAAAGGGCGTCTGCCCCCACGGACACGGCAGGGCCAGGCGCCCACGGAGAGGGGCTGCGGGGAAGCGACCCAGCGGAATCGCGTGTCCTTGCCACCCTGAGCCCACCCCTTCGACGTGAGTGGCAGGCCTGCATTTCTGCAGACTGTGAGGACAGAATTCGAGAGTCAAGGACTCTCATTCAGTAAACACTGTCTTTTGCTCTAGGGCAGTGGTTCTCAACCTTCCTAATGCCGCGACCCTTTAATACAGTTCCTCATGTTGTGGTGACCCCCAATTTCATTGTGACAAATTGAACATAAAGCCCAAAAACAATATGTAATTATATGTTTTCCGATGGTCTTAGGCGACCCCTGTGAAAGGGTCGTTCGACCCCCAAAGGGGTCGCAACCCACAGGTTGAGAACCGCTGCTCTAGGGGGTCGGGAAGGAGAAACTAGCTGGGGTGACCCCATGCTCCACGGTGGACGCTGACTTCCACGCCGTCCTGGGGGAGGGGAGGCCTGGCACGGCAGGAGGCATTCTGCACCCAGCTGCCCCCTTCCCGTCCATAAAGTCCACAAATCCAGCTGCAGGTAGGTGTTCCTGGAGACCTGGTATGTGTGAAATGCTACCAGGTGCTGCGAAGACGAAGAAGCAGGAGGCGGCCAGGCTCTGGCTGCCTGTGGGGTATCACAGGGGCCAGCAGGGGGCTAATGGGGTGCCAGCTGGGGGGAGGAAGGGCGTTGGGGACGGTGGGGGGCATTCCTAGGGGCGTGGTCCTAGGCCAGATCCTGTCCCCCCAGTCCCTGGGCATTCTCCACCGTGGTCACCCTGCACGGGTGACCCTCAAAGCTGGACCTCAGGCCAGGCCTCTGCCCAGAGTTCCAGACTGGGGTCCGAGGGGCACAGACCCATCCTAAGCGTTTTACCAATCGGCGCTTATCGCAACCCCCCGCCAGCCTGAAGAGGTAGCGCCTGCTGTCACCCCTACTTTGTAGACAAGGGCACCGAGGAGCAGAGGGGTACCTGACTCAGAGCCCACAGCGAAGGAGGGGCAGAGGCAGGGTCTGGGCTCAGGGGCCGGCTCCCAGGCCCCTCCTCTCGGCTGCTGCGGGCACAGCCTCCGCGGTGGGCCTGTGACACTCATTCAACCCGGGAGTCTGGCCTGTGAAACGTGTTAGTCCTCGGCTTCCTATTTTAAGACCAAGCCGCGCGGCTGGAGGAAACAGATAAGGAGTTTGTGCTTCCGGAGCCCAGGGCCCCGCAGACCCTCCCATCGCGTGGAGCAGGGAGCTGAGAGCAGACGGGTGAGGCCGGGAGGGGTCCCAGGGGCGCGGGGGTGGCTCCCCGCTGGCCAGCACCCTGCAGGCGGAAACCGCTAAGTGGACATCCAAATACACAAGCCACCGCAGGCACATCTACCAAGCGTGTGGAACGTACCAGGAGAGGAGAGGGGAGGGGAGATGGGGCTGCAGAGGGAAGGCGGGCGGGCGCTAAGCCAGGGCCTGGGGGTCCGGCTGCCTGAGGGAAGAGCCCCAGTGCCCAGGGAGACAGAGGAGCTATTCAGAGCGCACGCCCGCCTTCTCTTCAATAATTGATGCAAAAGCCACGGCGAGCGTGCACATGGTGAGGGGAAGCCGGGAGGAAGGAAGTGGTGCTGTGGCCTCCCAAATCCAGGGAGGGGGCCCCGGGGCTGACAGCTCAGCTGAGGCCCAGCTCCCCCACTCACCGGCTTCGTGGCCTTGACCTCTGAACCCCAGTTTCTCCATCAGATTGGCCATCGTGGCCACAAGCTGCTCCTTTGGGATTTGGTGGGTGGGTCGGGGGGCGGGGAGGGAGACCGGGGTTGGGGAGAAATATGTCCACCAGGGCCTCGGACTCCCTGGTTGTCTGAGCCAGTCGGGTCCAGGGAAATGCTGGCCGCGCAGAAGGGGCTGGACAAGCCCTCGCAGAGGCTGCTGTGAGTGCCTCTGGTGACCGGCCTGGGCCTGGCCCGCGGCGGCCACCCTGCCCGGTGGTCAGGGCCAGGCTGCAGGAGGCAGGCGGCCAGGCCCGGGCCCCGCCTGTCTGCCCAGACACGGTGCAGTCAGAGGCCCGTGCTGAGGA